TTTCAACAGCAAAACACGGAGCTCACAAAACATGGGCTGTGTTTTTCCACCTCTGACTTGACAGTTCTTGCTTTCTTTTTTTTTTTTTTTTTTGCTTAGCTTGAAGTGTGTGCGCCCTGCTATAAATTCAGGCAGCGGGCCTCCTAGGTCAAGATAAAGGTGGACGTTTCGCCTCTCCCGGGACACAGGGGCTCTGTCCACGTTCTTCCTGACGGGACTGGAAGGCGTCGCGGTTACACTGCTGTGAGCTCAGTGGCTTCCGAAGTCACAGAAACGGCCAGGGGTCGCGTCCCCGCTCCGAACAGGTGGCTCACGCACAGTCAACAGAGGCGAGTCAGCAGAGGAAGGAGCCGGGTCCTCCTCTCTGAGGCAATGGAAGTCAGCCAAAGCTTTTGTCCCCTGTCCCCTTCAAGGTTGTAGCAACAACACAAGGCGGATGAGCCGACTAGCAAGGTGCCCTAATCAGAGCCCCCAGAACACACCCGGAGAGGTTCCCCAGGTTCCTGTGGGAAGATCGTAGTTTTGTATTCAGGAACCTCAAATTGAAACTTAGCATTTCCTTCCATGATGGGTGAGGGGGGAAAAGGCAATAGTTATTGTAACCGGGATACTACCTCCAAAAAAAAAAAAAATCAATGTTTTTGCATCTCACTGCAGACATAAGTTATCTCAGTTTTACCCATCCATTCTTCACAGTTGCGGCGGTCACCGACCTGCCTCCGGACCTCATTGAATGTGCGGGTAAAGGAACACACCTGTGACTCCATCTGCTCTTGCAGTTCTTTTCAACTGCACATTCCTTCTCAACATGTGACCCCGGTTGCATTTCAGTATAATGGGCTTTCTTTGAGGTCCCGTGTACTTCATTTTACTCATGAAATTCAGAGCACAGGGTGCCAGACCGGCCAAGGGACCCGAGGCTCCGAAAAGGTTAGGAACCCCTGAGGTACAATTTCTTTCTCAGCCGTATTGAAATGAAACCTGTATGTGTGTCTTACGAGGGGCGCAAGTCACACGGGAATGCTGGTTTGTGAGATGCAGCCGTTGTGGAAGACCGCCCGAGCGTCCCCGAACCCGGGCCTGGACAAACGAAGCGTGGTCCGCCCACCCAGCGGAGCAGAGCGCGGTGATGAAACGGGCCCGGATAGGGACTCGTCGGCGGTCTGGAGGGATCTCCAGTTCATCGTGAAAAACGGAAGAGGCCAGGCCCAAGGGCTACCTGCTTCGCGGCGTCATTTCTGTGACGCCCTTTCCAAGCCAGAACCACACGGAGAGAAACCAGATCGGTGGCCCGCACGGCGTGAAGTCGCTGGCAAAGGGACACAGGGCACTTCTGGGGTGGATGGAATCTGTGTATTTCGGTAAACTTACCTAACATGCGATCAGTCTAACCCGCATGCTAGTTGCTGGATACTCCTCATGTCCGAGTTCTCCCTAAAAACGGAAGTGTCCAGGAGCCCCAGCGGGGCACGGAGGGCGGCCCCGCCTCTGCCCCGGGCCCCCAGCCGTGTCTCCCAGTCCCCTCTGGCCCGGAGAGCTGTGTCTGCCCTGCCTCCGCCCCGGGTCCACCCGCTCCTCTCTCCTCCCCAGCAGTCCGGGTGAGGCCAGCCTCTGTCCCTCGGCGTCGCAAACACACCAGCTTGCGGAGGGTGGCTGGCGCAGTTAGGATGTGATGCACAGCCCAGACTCAGACAGCTTTGAGAGCAAGTGTCACTGAGCTGGGGAAGCGGGTGCGAACCTCGGGACTGTCCGAGGGAACCTGGACCCTCGGCTTCACAGCGTGGGAGAAGGTTCAGGGCTGACGAGGGGCGGCAGGTTGGGGGCTGGTTACATCAGAGCCACAGCGGGGAGAAATGCTCAAAATTCGAATATTCCTCCTACAGATTTTTGAGGGCTTCAGGTCACCCCCGGCCCAAGACCTGCTACTCACAACAAGGCCCTGTCCTCCCATCCTGCCTCGCCCTGAGTCCTGCCCGCTCCCTGTTCCCACTCGAGCCCCAAGTGCCTGTGAATTTGTCACACAAAGCAGTTTGGCGCTCCCTCTGCTTCGTCCTCGCCCAAGCTGGCGGCTACTGTCCCCAAACCGAAAAGGCCCGGCTGAAGGCCAAGCCGACTCGCCCTTTCCCTCCCTCGGCAGGGTTGTCTCAGCTGCTCGTGAATCCCAATGGCGGCAGCGACACTGACGGCTAAGACACAAGCGGCTGTCGCGTTCCGTCCTTTCGGGCCCCTAGGAGGGAGCTAGCGACCCTCTCCCCATGTCCAAGGTGAGCAGACTGGGAGTCAGGGGGGTCCAATCGCCCCCGAGAGTGGCAGCACCCCAGTCCGACGGCTCCGGGCCCCGGTGGAAGCGCCGCCTCCAGCCTCGTCCCGGGGCACCTAGCCCGGGTGCCCGGCCCGTGTTTGCTGTCTGCCAGCCTCCCTGCCCGCCTGATTCAATTGTTTGAGCAGCCAAGTGGACTCCACAGCTGACATCTCACCCGGGCGTTTCCACTGCTCGAGGAATCAGCCAAGGTCACCGTGAGCTCAGGCAGGCGGCCTCCAGCACCCGGAAAAGGTCCCCGTCCTCCGCTGTTCCTTGAGCCGTGATAACCTTGCCCAGACACTTGAAGTCATTTCCCCCTGGACACGAAACCCCAGACCTGACCCCCCAGCAGGTGACTCCTCTCCGGCGGCATGCTGGGAATGGGGCTGGAGAGTCCGGGTCGGGGTTTACTGCCCGGCGACACGAGTCCGGAGAGCTAGGGGCGCCTCCGGGGCAGGCCCACAGCGTCCACTCCATCCGGACGCTTGGTCGCGAGAGAAGCCACTGTGCTTTCGTGGAACTGGCGGCACCTGCTGTTCTGACCCACGTGTCGCCGAACCAGGAGGCCGGAACTGGAAATGCACATTTTCTCACGGCGACGATGTCCGCAATAGTGACTAGGTGCCCAGGGCAGCTTCCTCGGGTGGGTCCTGGGGACAGGGCGCCAAGCGGGGAAAGAAGGAGCCAAAATAAAGATGCCACAGACTCGTGAAAAATAAGTGAGTTTCTGGAAACTTCCTGCCCTCCACGGCACTCCTGGCTGAGAAGCTCATCCTGGGGAACCCCTGGTTTTCCTGGGAGGACTCTCCACCCACCTTGTCACCCTCGCCCTTCCATCCCAGCCACCTACTGTCGCCCTCACAGCAAGTCTCCTACCCTCCCCGTGTGGGTGAGCCGACTGAATGTCCTGAAGCTCTGACAGTAAACTCTCAGTGCGGACTGAATGCCCTGCCCTCTTGCAAGCAGGAAACATATACTGACCCCTGTGACTCCTATACTGCCCCTGCAGGCAAACGCTGCTACCAGCGCCCGCACTGAAGATGAGGAGACTGGACCAGAGAGGGTGAGTGGTTTGCCCAAGGACACTCAGCGGGAGAGCGGCAGAGCCCTGGAGGGGCGGCTGGACAGGCCGGCTCCAGCGTCTGTGAACTTAACCTCTCCCACAGTGGGTGCATGTACTGAACAGATGCCCTGAGACTGGCTGGTGTACCAGCCTCTGCACCAGAGCTGGGGACACCGGGGGACAGGCCATGCAGCCCGTGCCCGAATGGAGCCACGCTCCCGGGAGGCCTCGGACAGGACGGAGGTCCACGTCCTGCTAGGAGCAGGTGGGGGCGTGCCCAACCCTGAGCGGGGGCTGGGAGGGTGCGGAGGGAGGCGTGGCCAGGTTGAAGGCACAGCTGAAGGATGAAGTTTAATTGGTTTAAAAAAAAAAGGTTGGAGATAACACTCCGGACAAAGGGAAGAGCGTGGGGGGGAGCCCAGGGCGAGAAGTACACCAGGGGAAAGGCAGCGTGTTTTGCTGTATAATGCAGACCCTATTTTGGCCCAAACTTTCAGGCAAAAAATTTTGTTGTAAATTTTTAATTCAATTCTTTATTTATATTTATAAATGAAACCCATCATCATATTCCGGGGTATTATTTTGCATGCGGATATTGTTAATTGCTTTCTAGAGTTATACTTTTAATGCATAAGCATAAAAAAATAATTAAAAGCATTTACATCGATACGGAATTAGCACTCCCCACGTATAATGCTTATTCTTTCCTCAAATACCTGGGCAAAACGGTGCGCGCTATCTGAGTGAGGAGGGAGCAAAGTGTGGGTCGGCGATGAGGGGCTGGGGCACCGAAGAACCGGGAGCCCTAGAGATGCTCGGGGGGAGGTGGGGGGCTGGTACCCAGGTGCTGTGGCGGGTACGGGCTGAGGGCGTCTGGAGAGGGCAGTCGCGGGGTCGGGGGGTGGCGGGGGGGCGGGCGCCAGTTAGGAGGACTGTGCGCCCCCTGGTGGTGCGGCGGTCCACCACGCGGCGCTGGGCACCCTCTGCCTCCTGAGAGGTGGGGGTTGCTACCCCGAAGTCTAGGGCCCTGCAGCTGTGCTGGGCGCAGCACCCTGGGAGCCTCGGCGCCTGTCCGATGGGGGACAGTGCTCCTGCACCCAGGACGGAAGGAGGTGACGGTGTGCTCGTCCATTTCAGAGGCTCGATGACCCTCCATCCCCGGTGGTCTGCGGCTCCCTGCTGGGGCCGGCCCTCCACCCTCTGGGCGGAGGAAGTAAATACACACGAGTATTCAGACGGATTTTGGTATCAGCACTCATATTTCTTGTGTAGTTTTTAGGAGTGTGATATTCTCTCACTAATACATAAAATTTACAAATAAAATATGTGCAGATGTAAATTAGTGGTTAACATTTATTTACTTTTTTAACTTTTTAAAAAGATTTTATTTATTTATTTATTTTTAGAGAGAGGGAGGGGGAGAGAGAGAGAGAGAGGGAAACATCAATGTGCGGTTGCTGGGGGCCGTGGCCTGCAACCCAGGCATGTGCCCTGACTGGGAATCGAACCTGCGACACTTTGGTTCGCAGCCCATGCTCAATCCACTGAGCTACGCCAGCCAGGGCTACATTTATTAATATAGTTAGTGTAATGGGATATTGGAAGCACATGCCTAAAAAATATATTCTTTGCTAACAGGTGTTGGCATCGACGACAAACCGCTGATTAGCCCGCTCCCTTGATTCAAGGAGGATCGGACTGGGGTGGGTGTTGCTCCATTTATTTCAATGCTTTAAAAAAATTTAGACTGAAAGTTTCCACCCTCCCAAAATTCAACTCCTCCCCAACTGTTTCAGCTTCTGGCAAATGTAGAAGTAAGGCCATTGTGTGACGGTCACCTGGGCCCCCCTCCAGCACAGCCCCGGGACCTCACCCCCCTCTGCCCGAGGCTCTGCCCCCTGAGTGGATAGGAGCCTGGATTAAAGGGGCCGCCTCCTGGCCCAGCTGGAAAGGGGTGTCGTTTTCCTCCTGCTGTCTCCTTTCCTTTCCTTTCCCACATTCTAAGAAAGGCAGCATGTCCTGCAGGGAGGGAGGTGGTGAGGGGGGGTGGGGATGGGGGGAGACGGTGCTGGCTGGTGGCTGAAGGCTGGAAAAATCACCAGGTACAGTTACTGGGGGCGGGGAGCGGGGGCGGGGGGGCAGCTTCGTCTCTGTGAGTTCCTTTCAGGTGGCTCGGCCGGCTGAGTCTTACGCCCTCCATTTATCATATTAAAAAAATGTAATGTTCAATAGTAAGTTCTTTATTTAATAAATGACACAATTATCTTTGCCAGTTCAACGGCAATATTTAATTAATGTTTTTAAAACAGAGGTTTAGCAATTCAGATTTCCAAATCGCTAAACCCTCCAGAACTTGATTTGTCCGCCCTGGATTTTTCCGACGGCCTTTGTCCTCAACAAATCGGTGGCAGCATCTTTCCCAAACGCCTGCACCGGCTGCCCTCCCCCACCCCGGCCCTCCCCCGCCTGTGAAACTTCCACGGTGACCCGCGGGCTCTTTAACAGGGCTCGCCCTGCCCTTTAGTCCTGCCCGAGCGGGCAGCGGTGCCGTTTCGGCGAGCCTTGCTTTCTTGCAGGGCTTGCCTGTGAAGTGCATCCATTCTACAGGAAGCTTTAGGGCGAAGCCATCACCCGATCTCTCCCCGGGGCCCACGGGCCGTGGGCCCTTCACAAGCCTTTTTCGACGCCGCTGGCTCCTTAGGAGAGCGGATCGCATACCCAAGGAGCCCAAGCCCTTTCTTCGTGCACATTCACCTGTAAAGGGGTTTTTTGGCAGGTGATCAGCCTCCAGGAATTCAAAGCTTTCACTCGCTACCAGAAGCCCTAGACCACAGGGCCCTGAGGCCGCGGTCTGGGGGGACAGCCCGTGGCATTTCTGGCCCAGCCGCCCGTCCCAGTCTGGCTGCCGCCGCGCCTCCACGCTGCACAGATAAGCGGAGTCAGAACCCTCTGGATACCCAGGGCTGGCCCCCTGCGGGCGGCGCTCCTCGGAGGTGAGTCCAGGCAAAGGGGATTGGGAGTCCTGGCCAGACCCGTGGGAATGAGCAGGAGGGGACTTGAGACTCGGGGGGAGGGTCAGCGTCCAGCGCGGGAGGGAGTCTTCCTCTCCTGGAGGACTTGCGGGCGCCTGCAACCCTCCCGCCGCCCTGCAGAGCTGGAAACAGATGCGCAGGTGGAGGCGGGCAGGTGTGAGAGACGGCGGGAGGCCGAGCACAGGGGTGCCGCGCGAGCCCCGTGTGGGCTCCACCCCAAACTTCTTCTTAGTTCTCTCTCCTTGGCGTTTATTCTTTAATCTTTCCTGTATTTTCTCATTACCATGTAGCCCCCTCTCCCCTCCCCCCAGCAGTCACCACGCAGTGGCCCAAGCCCACGAGTCCTTCACCTTCGTGCGCAGCCCCGCCACGAGCTGCCAGCTGCTCTCCGCCCGTGAGTCTGCCCCATTTCCCAGTCAGTGCGGCGAGTTCACTAGAGTCCCCCCAGGAGTGAGGTCACGCGGGGTTTGTCTCGCTCTCACTGGCTTACTTCACTGAGCATAGCGTTCTCCAGGCCCATCCACGCTGTGGCTGGACTTTTCTGTCACGTAAGACAAACAATGTTGTTTTGCTTAAAAATAAAGAGGACAGAGGACGTGAATGGAAAGCAGCTTGGTGATTCCTCAAAAAAAAAGTAAGCGCAGCATTACCACGTGCCCCAGCAACTCCGCGTCTTGGTGCGTGTATCCGAAATAGCTGAAGCCGGGGCCCACACACCTGTGCACGGCCGCGCACTGCTCTGCACCCCAGCACCTCTCACGGCAGCCCACACCGCGCGTTCCTCCGCCGTCACTGCGCCGTCACCGGGGCACAGGGACGCACAGGGACGCACAGTGCGCGTCTGCCTCCTCCCGCCCTCGGGGTCACGTGAGACCTGCTGCAGCGGCGCAGGGTGCCAGCACCCCTGAGCGCCAGTGCAGCGCCCGCAGGGGGTGCGACCTGTCACACCGGCTCCCGGTTTGCAGGGGGTTTGAACGTTCTGCTTCACAACCCATCCTCCGTGTGTTCGCACCCGCAGCTGCGGCGCCACGAGGTCTTCCGAGACCTGGAGAGGGGTCGGTGCCCCCCAGCCCCCACCCCGGGGGTCTCGGAGAGACAGCTGTCAGCCCCCGATTCCACCACAGTCCCCCCACCCCCACCCACCGGCTCCTGGGGAGCCCAGAGACCCGACAGCGAGTTTGCATCAACGTGGCCTGAAACCCAGGACTGCTGTCACCAGGTCCCTGACCGAGACCCAGGGGCCCGCTGCTTGGCCCAGAGGGAGGGAGGCGCGTGCACCCCCAGGTTTCATCCGAAGCCCTTCCTTCTGGGGTGTTGTTAAGCAAGCCGAGCCGTGCAGTATGTTTTGACCCTTCTGCCCACACCTGTCTGTCTGATGGAAGATGGTAGGAACCTGACCACACACGGGCGCTCACACCTCTCCTCTCCTTCCCCTTCTGCAAAGGGACATGGGCCCTGCCCCCCTGCGAAGCAAGGAGCCGCGGTTTGAAAGTCTGCCTCCCACCACTGGGTGGCAGTGTTTCCCCGCCTTGCTCTCCCTCCACCTGGCCGTGGGTTGGGAGTGGTTCCGGCGGCTGGGGCCCTAGCTGAATTCCCCTGGCGGGCTGGGCGAAAGCCCAAGGTTTTTCCTGAGTCTTGTGTCCCTTACCAATGGCCAGTGTAGCCCTGGCTGGTGTGGCTCGGTTGGTTGGAGTGTCGCCCCGTAACCGAAGGGTGGAGGGTTTGAACCCTGGATCCGGGGGCACACGGGAGACAACCAGTTGGTGTTTCTCTGTTCCCCAGCTTCTCTCTCTAAAAAGCAATGAAAAAACGATGTCCTCAGGTAGGGTTTGAAAAAGCCACCAGTGTAAAGTAATCCATAGCCCACAGACACACATTGTGGGGTGGCAGGCCCGGCTCCCCTCCTTCTACGGAGTGTTTCAGGCACGCAGCATGTGGCTCCCACTAACGGGGTCGAAACAAAGAAGGAGAAGGAGCCCGTCGCCGCGGTTAAAAGCCGTCCCCGAGGAAGGACACGGGGAGCGGTACCAGCGGAATCCCCAGGTTGCGTCCTCCGTCCCTCTGTCCGGAGAAGAACTGACGACGAGCACAGTAGCTCGCTGGTCCCTACGTGCAGCCCTGCCCGGTGTTCCTTCCCTGGAAGCTGTCCAGAGGGGGACGTCTGAGCACCCGTCCCCCCGATGGGAGAAGATTTTAATGCAGAAGCGGAGGGAGACCCAGGACTGAGAGGGGTGGCCGAATCCCTCCGCGCTGAGGCCGATCCCTCCGCGCTGAGTCCCCCTGTGCCAGGCAGAGCTTGGACGCGGTTTCTAGCTCCCTCGCCACGTCTTTATTGCACCTTTCTATGCAGCAGGATCCCCCCCCCCCCGCCCCCGGCCACAGAGATGGTGAAGGACAGAACGGGAATTTGGACCACACCTGCCCGCCTTCTGCAGGCGCCCAGGAGACTGCGGCCGCCGGGACAGGAGGGGCGGTTTGCGCTCCCGACCGAGGGAGACGTGTGAACAACGCGAGATCACGGAAAACGCACGGGCTGCACACGCTCGGAGGTGCGCACCCCCATTTCCCTCGGCACCCACCCCCTTCCTCTGCCGGCCTCAAGGTGCCCACGGTGACAGCCTGGCTTCAGGACAGCCATTGAGATCCAGATGCTGGGACCTTCCCCAGGGCTGGTGGCATTTCTGCCTCTGGTGACCAAGAGACACCCTACACCCTTCCCTTAAAGTCTCTCCCGTTTGGACTGGCGCCAGGGGCCTTGGTTACTTGCAACGGGTGAGCCTCACATAGAAGCACCCGGGGAGGGGGGGGGGTGTCAGCGACCGTGAAAGAGCTCAGAGAGACGCAACAGCCAGTGAGCTTGCTTTCTGAACTTGGAAAGGCCGAGCGACCATATTGGCCCCCCAAACCCGATTTATAACGCTAGCCTTCTGATTTTAAATGCATCACAGACTCTAAAAAAAAAATTACAGGGACTTTGAAGAGTAAATTTTAAGAATGAACCTTGGGTAAGGAAAAAGTTCTGTACTCAAATAACAACAACAACAACAACAACAAAAAGAGTGTCTATTTTTATTCATTTTACAGGAGGTAACAAAACAGAAACTGAGGATGGAGTTATTTCAGGGGTTATTCGACTGAGCAGTCTTTGGAACAGCTCATTCTTTGTAAAAATAGTAATAAACCACTCGGAAATGCAGCGCTTTGGTTTCCCTCTAAAATAACGCTTTAGGATGTCTATAATTTGCCGGAAAGTGCGGAAATGCCTTTGGTTCATCTAATAAGCATTCCGCGAGGGCCTGCGCGCACGGCGCCCTGCATCCGCGGAGCAAAGCAGGAAGCGACGGGGAGCCGTGCAGCGGAGCTCCCCACCTGGCAGATGAATAGGCTGGTGGATCGGCGCTCGCGCGCGGGTGCGGGACTGGGCCGCAGGGCGTGCGAGAGGCAGGTGCTCAGAACCGGAACCACGTGCGGCGCCCCGAGCCCCGTGCTCCTGTCTGTTCGGTGACCGCCGTGGCCGGCACCACGGGCGCGTAAGGGGGAGAGAATGAATGGGCGGTGGTGCGTTGTACTAACTGAGTTGTGCGCCCCTCCTGCCGTTTCGTAAAAGGGATCGCTGAGAGCAGCTCCTTTTTTCTTTTTTTTTCTTTTTTCTTTTTTTTTAAGATTTTATTTATTTATTTTTAGAGAGAGGGAAGGGAGGGGAGAGAGAGAGAGAGAGAGAGAGAAACATCAATGTGCGGTTGCTGGGGGCCGTGGCCGGCAACCCAGGCATGTGCCCTGAGTGGGGGTCGAACCCGCGACACTTTGGTTTGCAGCCCGCGCTCAATCCACTGAGCTACGCCAGCCAGGGCCTCATTTTTCTTTTTAAAAATTGTTACTATATTTTGTTCACAGTGGCAGTTTGTGTTGTCCGTTACTATTTCGTCATTTCCCCCGTCCTCCCACCGCTGTCAGCCATCAGCTTGTTCTCTGTGTCTGCGGGTCTGTTTCTACGTCGTTTTGTTTGCTTGTTCCCTTTAATGGATTCCACGCATAAGTAAAGTCATACAGCATTTGTCTTTCTCTGCCTGGCTGATGAATGTCCCTGAACACAACACCCTCTGGGTCCATCTGTGTTGTCGCAAACGCCAGGAGCTCATTCTCCTTGCTGCCGAGTCACAGCCCACTGCCTGCGTGTGCCTCGTCCGCCTCACCCACCCGTCTGCTCGCGGACCCCGAGCCGCTTCCGGAGTCTGCCTGCCCCTGGCGCCACCGCGGTGGGCGGGGGGGTGCAGGACAGCAGCGCCGGGCCGGTGCTGGCCCCTTTCCCCCCCGGGTTTCCGAAACTCTGGCCCACACCAGCTCCCGGGAGTCCGCGGGAAGGGAAGGCTGTCCAGTTAGACCGATGCCAACTCAGGCAGCAGGGGGGGTCTTCCAGCCCACGGCCACAGGCGGACAAGGAGAGACAGGTACCCACTCCCGAAGGGCCTTGAGGAATCGTGTCCCTGTTTTCTTCACAGCGGCGCAGAGCAGGTCACCCCCTGGTTTCACCCGCTGCCCCCTCCCCCATCATCCGCAGTCACACCTCAGCAGCACGTGTGCTCAGTGTCCCCCCGGAGTGCTGACAGCCCACTTTCTCTCTCCCCTCCTTGGGAGGGGCCCCCGGGGCTTGGTGCTTGTTGGTGGCATCAGTGGGGGCAACAAGGCCCAGTGCCCGCCCTTCTTAAGCTTATACGGCACGACCAAGATGGCAGTTGCTATAAAATTTTGTTTTCTTAGTGGGAGGAGAATCTGACATTTTATTACTGGGTACTGTCACCTCCGACAGGGCAAGGTCCCTGGGCACCTAGATATAAGGCACAGTGCTCATCTTGTCTACTGAGATCCCCTGTCGTTTTGCTCTGATGATACTTCAGGAGCACTGGCCCCGGGGGTCTGAGAGTGCCCTGCCGGCCGCTGCTCAGGGGGAGGGTCAGCTCTTCCTGCAGGTCATCACCCCACTTTGACCAGCATGGCTGGTGTTCTGCTTTGGCTGCTGGCTGTTGGCTGGTGGGAAAATCATTCTCTTTCTTTGCGCCTCAGTTCTAAGACAAGAGTAATAATGCCTGTTCCTGAGGATAACGGGAGCTAGTTTGTGTATCCACCCATGAACTATTTAGGAGCTACCCCGATGAAATCAGTATTATTATTATTATTAGTGTTGTTGTTATTGGATTCACACAGACAACTAAGAAAAAATGTCAAGGTCTTTGCTGCCTGGGGAGACAGAGGAGACAGACAGAGTAGGGGACCCAACGTCCCTGAGAGACCGAGCGTCTCTGTGTCTTGGAAACGACCGACTGCATGGGCAAGTCAGTTACAGGAAACTGGCCTCACCACCCGCCTGAGGTTGAACTTGCCCTTGCCTCTCTTAGCTCAGCGGCGACCGGCTGGGGTGGCGGCTCTGTGGGCACGTAGGTTTCTGTTTTCCCGGGCGTTCCTTCCTCCCCGCCCTGTGTCTGCGCTGTGCGAGGCTTAGGGTAAGGCC